TCACCAGGACTGCCATCATCCAGCTTTCCCCAACCCCATATTCTCTCACTCACCAGGACTGCCATCATCCAGCTTTCCCCAACCCCATATTCTCTCATTCACCAGGACTGCCATCATCCAGCTTTCCCCAACCCCATATACTCTCGCTCACCAGGACTGCCATCATCTCGCTTTCCAACCTCTGATTTCCCGAGCTCATTCAAAATTCTTTGGCACCCAGGAGCTAACTTCCATTGAGTCCCATTCACCCATCACCTTCCCCACCCCCAGACTCCCACTCCACCCACAGTCCTGTACTGGCTCCCAATGACTAGACTTTAAAATTCAAATCCTTCATTTCTCAAAGTCTACTCTAGCCTCCCAGTCTCCTCCTGCAGCTCCAAAACCCCCGGGATATCTGCAACCCCTTTAATTCTGGACCCCTCGACCCATTCCATCCACTGGCTAGGTCTAGACTCTGCAATTGCCTCTCTCAACCTCTCTCTTCTCCGGTAAGACGCTCCTGAAATCTGACCTTTTCTCTTTAGTTTATTCACAGCACATGGGCTGGGTCAGCATTTTATTGCCTGCCCTTTAGTCTCCTGTCCTATGTCTCCCTTTGTGTTTCAGTATCTGCCTACCCCCGTTCTGAACACCTTGAGAGCTACTGAGTTTGCTGGAATTGTGACTGTGCCATTAAATGTTGGGTCTGGTGTAAAGGCGACTATTAACGATGGAGCTCCTAGGCCAAGTAGTTTGACCATTTCCTTGATGTCCGCAGGAACGACTTCTTGAAGGAAGTGAAGATCATGTCTCGGCTGAAGGATCCCAACATTATCCGGCTGCTGGGTGTGTGCGTGCGCGATGATCCACTCTGTATGATCACAGAGTACATGGAGAACGGAGATCTCAATCAATTCCTAGCCAACCATGAGCTGGAGGAAAAGACCACAAGTACAACCGACATTCCCACCATCAGGTTAGACCGAAAGGGGCAAGGGGGAGAAGCGAGCACACAGTCACTGCAGGCAGCCTCATCTTTACTGAGGTGGGATGTAATCGCACTGGACTCAGTTCAGAGAAGGTCCAGGTGACTAATTCCAGAGACTGAGGAGGGATTGAGGCCTACTCTCGCTAGAGGAATGAAAGGCGATCCAACTGAGGTATACATCAGATGTGAAAGGGGTTTGACAAAGTAGACGTAGGGGCGGAGGTAGGTCAATCTTGAACAAGAGGTCATAGCTAAGAGGCGGCAGACCGAAAACGGAGGAATTACTTCTCTCAAGCGGTCACAAGTCTGTGGAATTCACCAGCCCAGAGTGCAGTGGGCACTGGATAAATTTATGGAGGGGATAGACAGGTTTTTAATTAGTAGTAGATTGAAGAGGTATGGGGAGCGGGCAGGAAAGTGGAGCTGAGGCCGAGATGAGATCAGTCATGACCATATTGAATGGCAGAGCAGACTTGAGGGGCTGAATGGCCCTGCTGCTCTTCATTCTTACGTTACCGGGGGCATGCAGCCCCCAAGTATTCACTCCTACATCCCAAACTTACCCGCTTCCCTTCAGATGTCTTCTGTGCTGGAGGAGGTTCCTGGACACGGATCTTTTGAAGGAAGTGCAGAGTGAAAACTGCATAATCTTTCAGTCTTCGTTAGACTCAAGGGAGGTGCCAGAAGACTGGAGGATTGCAAAATCAGGCCTTTGCTCAAAAGCAAAATTGTGTCAGGGTAAACTCAACAACTGTAGAGCAGTCAATTTAACTACAGTGGGGGCGGGGGTGAGGAGCTCCTGGAAGCAATTATTCGGGATAAAATTTGTAGTCACATGGAAAGAGGTGTGTTGACTCCCGAAAAGCCAGCATGGATTTCTGAAAGGGAAAATGTGTTTTCAAGCAGCTGACAGAAAGGTTGATGAGGATAATGCAGTTGATGTACACATTGGATTTCCCGACAATATAGATACACTGCCGTCCAACAGACTTGTGAGGAAGCTGATATTCTGTAGAATACACGAGGCCGTAGCAACAGGAGCACAAAATTAGCTGAGTAATAGGTAACAGAGAGCAAAGGTCATTGGATGTTGGAAGAAGGTTTGAAATGGAGTTCCCTCGGCACTGCTATTAGAACCTTTGTTTAGTAGATGGGCAGATGAGGTTCAATACGAGGAAGTGTGAGGTGATGCATTTTAGTGTCAGAACTTTGAACGAACATATAAAATAAGGGGTACATTTCCAAAGGGGGTGCTAGATCATGGCCGATCTAGCTGTAGTCTGGACACCACTTATCTGTATGCATCCCTCCAACCCTGGACTCCCTTGTCTTATCAAAAACTCAGCTTTGATGAAAGACAGTTTGGATGGATTACCATGGTACTGTGACTACAAGGCATATTGTAGGGAGTAACTCACCTCCTGACTCCCCAGAGCCTGTCCACCATCTACAAGGCACAAGTCAGGAGTGTGATGGAATACTCCCCACTTGCCTGGATGAGTGCAGCCCCAACAACACTTAAGAAGCTTGACACCATCCGGGACAAAGCTTGGTCAACAGGCCATTTGCCGATTTACCAAAGGAAGCACCCAGAGGAAACCCACGCAGACACGGGGAGAATGTGCAAACTCCACACAGACAGTCGCCTGAGGGTGGAATCGAACCCAGGTCCCTGGCGCTGTGAGGCAGCAGTGCTAACCACTGAGCCACCGTGCCACACGTTCTCTCTGTGTCTGCATGGGTTTCCTCCGGGTGCTCCGGTTTCCTCCCACAGTCCAAAGATGTGCAGGTTAGGGTGGATTGGTCATGTTAAATTGCCCATAGTGTTCAGGGATGTGCAGATTTGGGGGATGGGTCTGGGTGGGATGCTCTGTGTGTCGGTGTAGACTTGTTGGGCCGAAGGGCCTGTTTCCACATTGTAAGGATTCTATGATGACGATCCCCTGAACAACTTTTTTTAAAAGGGGGCCCTGTCCGTCATATAAAATAACGAGATTCGCTGCCTCTTGTCAACGTTTACAATGCGGAAACTGGAAATGTACACAGCGCTGGGCCTGAGCAAGCAGCTGACGTGTTCTAACACACCGTCCCAACTTTTCAGTTCGACAGCGTTTGCTGCCCTGTCGAACGAGGTTCACCGTCTCTGTCCTCTTTCTGTCCCCTCAGTTACCCCAGCCTGATACACCTGGCCAGTCAGATAGCCTCAGGAATGAAGTACCTGGCCTCCATGAACTTTGTGCACCGTGACCTGGCGACCCGCAACTGCCTGGTTGGCGAAAACTACACCATCAAGATCGCTGACTTCGGAATGAGCCGCAACCTGTACTCCGGCGACTACTACAGGATCCAGGGCCGGGCCGTGCTCCCCATTCGCTGGATGGCCTGGGAGAGCATCCTGCTGGTGAGTGCCTGGCGAGATTGACTGGGCTGCCCTGTATTTCCCAGCGTTCAGTCGAGACGTAGAACGTTGTGGGTGGGGCAGGGGAGGGGGGAGGTGAAGCAATTCCTGTGTCCTCTGCAAAACCGACGGAATTCATTGCAATGTTGGCGGAACGCGCCAACCCCTCCCCCCAACCCTGTTATCAGAGTTAGAGTCAAATTGGGTGAAAGATGGAGTGAAGGAGAAAGAAAATCGGATTGAGAAAGAGAGCGGGGGTGGGGGAAAGGACAAAAAGGGGCTCCAAAGGAAATGGAGTAAGAGAAAGATCAGAGTGAAAAGAAAAATTGCCCTCTCGTTGCATCTTTGGAATGAGAGAGAAGAATTTAAGTCGTTCCTGTTCGAGGCGTTAGAGGTTGATTAGCATGGCATGAATGGTATTCGTATCACTAACACAAAAAAGTCCTCACGCTAGTAAATACCAGACCTAACTTTAACATTGTCAAAAGGATACCAGAAGCTTTTCTTTTAAATGCCAAAACTAGGGTGCAAGACTTCAAATAAAAGACACCAGTTCACACAATGTGAGAGGAGCGTGCTGGTTAAGTTTTCGAATCAAACAGCACGGAAGCAGACCCTTTAGTCCGTGCCGACCATAATCCCAAACTAAACTCGTCCCACCTGGCACACCTCCATCCGAACCTTTCCTATCATGTACTTATCCAAATGTCTTTTAAACGTTGTAACCGCACCCTCATCCACCCCTTTCTGTGGAAGTTCATTCCACGCACGAACCACTCTCTGTGTTTAAAAAAAAATTGCCCTTCATGTCTTTTTTAAATTTTTCTCCTCTCGCCTTAAAAATATTTCCCCCTTGTCTTGAAGATCCCCTCCTTAGGGAAAGGACACCTGCCATTCACCTTACACGTACCCCTCGTGATTTTATAAACCTCCGTAAGGTCACCTCTCAACCTCCTACGCTCCTTACAATTCATACCCTCCATTCCCGGCAACATCCTGGTAAATTTCTTCTGAGCCCTCTCCAGCTTAATAATATCCTTCCTGTAACAGGGTGACCAGAACTGGACACAGTACCCCAGAAGAGGCCTCACCAACATCCTGTACAACCTCAGTGTAACATCCCAATAGTTGGGCCATAATTTGCATGGAGATGCAGCAAGAACAGTTAACTGTCAATCTTAATTCTCAGACCAGGCAGTTCTGATTGGTGAGGACATTGCATGGGGTCACAGCAGAGTTTCTTCTTTTTTTGGAAAAGGTGCCATTTATGTACAAATTCCTTTTCCCAAAGCAAGCCAGCCTTGAATATTTATATATGTAGGCTCTAGCACATTTGACTACATCACACTGCTGGCCCAGCTGATGATTTTCAATCGGTTTCCACTGTAACTCTTAGTACAGTCTGGATTATTTAACAAACGATTTTCAGTAAATTCATTAAATAATTTGAAATGCACTAAAGTTCAAGCCAAGTCCATATGGCAACACCTTGATCCATCCTATTTAGATGAGGGAACTAAATGTAATATCTCCAAGGTTGCAGGTGGGAGGGCGACAAGGATGGAGAGATGCTTCAGTGTACTTTGAATGTGCTGAGTGAGTGGGCAAACGCATGGCAGATGAAGTATAAAGTGAGTAAACAAAGTCAGGAAGGCAGGTTATTGTCTGAGCAAAGATAGATTGGGAAAAATGGGAGGTGCAGTGCGTCCTGGGTGTCCCTGTAGACCAGTCGCTGAAAGTAAGCATTTTAAGGTACAGCAGGCGGTGAAGAAGGTAAGTGGTACGTTGACCTTCATAGTAAGAGGATTTGAGTACAGGAGCAGGGATGTCTTGCTGCAATTGTGTACAACCTGAGTGAGACCACCCCTGGAATATTGTGTGCAGTTTTGGTTCCCTTATCTGAGGACAGACGTTCTGACGATGGAGGGATTGCAACAAACGTTTACCAGACTGATTCCTGGGATGGCAGGACTGATGTGTGAAGTGAGATTGGATCAGTGAGGACTATATTCACCCGAGTTTATAAGAATGAGGGTATGATCTCACAGAAACCTATAAAATTCTAACAGGAATAGACAGGGTGAATGCAGAAAGAATGTTCTCGATGACCTGGGGGAGTCCAGAACCAGGGGTCACGGTCTAAGGATACTGGGTAGACCATTTTTGACTGAGATGAGGAAAAATGTCTTCACCCAGAGAGTGGGGGGGCCTGTGGAGCCTAGTTGAGGCCAAGCATTGAATGTGTTCAAAGGGGAGTTAATCATTCAGGCTGAAGAAAGCGAGGACAGGGTACTGAGTCGGATGATCACCCATGATCGTCTCGAATAGCGGAACAGGCTCGAGAGACCAATTGGCCTACTCCCACTCCTGTTTTCTCTGTTTCTAATCTAAATCTATCCGCCTGGTCTGAGAATTAAGATTGTCAGGTCACATTTCTCCATGCTAATGATGGTCCAACCAATCAGCACCCTCTTCTCAATGCTTTCGCTTTCCTCAAGTCTGCTTCTTGCTCCTTCACTCTGACGAGTGTAAGATGAATCTTCTAGTCTTCTTTTAAGCTCAGTATTGGGAGATGGGGAGGCAATGACCTAGTGGTATTATCTCTGGACTGTTAATCCAGAGAGCCAGGTAATGTTCTGGGGACCCGGGTTCGAATCCCACCACAGCAGCTGGTAGAATTTGAATCTGATAAAAATCCTGGAAGTAGGATTCTGAATGACAACCACAAATCCCTCCCATCTAGGGAAGGAAACTGCCATCCGTACCTGGTCTGGCCTACATGTGACTCCAGACCCACAGCAATGTGGTTGACTCTTAACTGCCCTCTGGGGCAATTAGGGACAAGCAATAAATGCTGGCCTAGCCAGTGATGCCCTCATCATATGAATGAATAAAAAAACAAACCATGTAACTTTCCCAAGAGAAATCTGACAAGTGCAGATATAGAGTGGTTTCAAAAAAATATAGCCAGAAGCCCTGCAGCTGGATCTGCATTTTGAAAAGATAGTTTTCCACCCTCTTGTCAAGGGATGGACAACTTGCCAGCATTGCTAACATGCCAAGACAGGAAAGGTGTTAATAATAAATGGATCTTTTGGGTGGGATATCAATGGTGTGAAGCTGAAGACAAATCAGCCAGTAGGTTTTGGAGATTTGTAACTCCTGTCCAATTTCCAATCCTCTCCAGCTTAATAATATCCTTCCTGTAGCAGGGAGACCCAAACTGGACACAGTATTCCAGAAGAGGCCTCATCAATGTCCTGTATAACCTCAATATAACGTCCCAACTCCTATACTCAAATGTCTGAGCAATAAAGGCAAGTGTGCTAAATGCCTTCTTAACCATTACATGAGATGCTAACTTCAAAGAATTATGCACCTGAACCCCTAGAACACTACCTGTTCTACAACACTACCCAAGGCCCAAGTTTAATTGTATAAGTCTTGTCTTTGTTTGTTTTACCAAAATGTACTTATCTAAGTTAAACTCCATCTGCCACCCCTCAGCCCATTGACCCAATTGATCGAGATCTCTTGGTAATCTGAGATAACCTCCTTTAGTGTCCACTATACTACCAGGTGCAGTGCTATCGATGGAGTTGCTCATGTTCCACTTACGATTCCCCCTTCTCCTCCCCGACCTCTCCAGGGAAAGTTCACCACGGGCAGCGACGTCTGGGCCTTCGGTGTCACTTTGTGGGAGATCCTGATGCTATGCAAGGAGCAGCCTTACTACCATCTGACGGACGAGCTGGTCATTGAAAACGCTGGCGAGTTCTTCCGGGAGCAAGGCAAACAGGTTAACAGGGAAGCGAAGGATTTTGGGGCGGGCAGCTGTGGAGTGGGGGGGCGGGGGAGCGAAGGTCCACGCAATCCCTCGAAACCTATTCTGCCGTCGCGTGGAATCATTACATTTAGGATCCGCACCTCCTCTCGCCCTACTTCACCCCACCTTATTAGAGTCATACGAAACGGACCTTCCAGTCCAACCAGTCCATTCCGAACGTAATCCCAAACTAAACTAGTCCCACCTGCCTGCTCCTGAGCCGAATCTCCCCAAACTTTTACTGCTCGTGCACATATCCAAGTGGGAGAATAAAAGTGGGGAAGTTTCACCGAAACTGTGCCAGTTAGACCACACCTAGAATATCATGAGTTTTGGTCCTTAACGAAGGGTGGATATACAGGCATTGCTGGAGCCGATGGCCTATTTCACTGGGCTCTTAATCCAGAGATCCGGTTAATGTTCGGGGGACCCAGATTCAAATCTCCGCCACAGTAGACAATAGAATTTGAATTCAATAAAAATCTGGAATTAAGAGTCTAATGCTGACCATGAATCCATTGTCGATGGTCAGGAAAAACCCACCTGGTTCACTAATGTCCTTTAGGGAAGGAAACTGCCATCCTTACCTGGTCTGGCCTATGGCAGGAAAGACCACCAGGGTTACTTTACACCTGACCATCTGAGCTGCAAAAGTGGCCCAGGGGGTGTTGGAAACCTGACTCTGGGGCTGGATTGTCTTGAGTTGGAGGAAATTGGAGGTGAGTTCTTGGCCTCTCAAAGATGGCTCCATATCTGTGTGGATGGAATTGTGCAGCACCCCCTTTTCCTCTTGCAACTCGAATGTTCAAATGCCCCAAAAGCGTAGGAAATAGATGCATGAATAAGCCGTTTGATCTCCGTAGCCTGCGACACAGTTCAGCAAAATGGTGGCGTGTGTTTTTATGTTAACTATCATCGATGGTCAAAATCCATCTGATATCCTTCAGGGAAGGGAATTTGCCATCCTCACCTGGTCTGGCCTACATTTTGACTCCAGACCCAAATCTTAACTGGCCTTCTGAAGTGGCCCTAGCAAGCCACTTGGTTCAGTGGGCAATGAGACTTGGGCAACTCAAAGAATAAAGAAGAAGAAAGAAAGGTCCACTTTTCCCCTGTGCCCCCAACCTCCCTGATTTGAGGATGGGGTTAACCACAGAATTGTAACCGGGCAGAAGGAGGCCATTCAGCCCTTCATGTCTGCACCGATTTTAGCCCCTAGTGCCAACCTTCTGTCCTGTTCCTGTATCTCACTGTGCCATTTCAATCCATGTAACCATCCAACGCCCATCTTCAAAGCCTCATTTGAACCTGCCTTACCCCCCATTTCCTTGCAGAGCATTCCATACCCTAACCACTCACCCAATGGAAAGGGGCATTTTTCCCCCTGCTTTACTTGCAGTTTAAATCTGTGACCCCCTCCCCTCGCCTTTCCTTTCTCTTTCCCCCAAAAGTGGCGGGAACAGAATTTTTCCCAATTATGATCAGCCCGGGGCCACCCATGGTTCGGAAAATCTCCTGCCAGGCTTTCATTCGGACCCCCCACCCCCATCTTTCCCGAGGAAACGCTCCCCATCTCCTCCTGCCTGAACGATCTCACTCTGCGACTTGTGTTCCTGCAGGTGTATCTCCCTTGCCCGCCAGTGTGCCCGCAGGCTCTCTACCACGTCATGGTCCAGTGCTGGTGCCGGGACTCGAAACACCGGCCGACCTTTCAGCAGATCCACCAATTCCTCACGGACAACGCTGCGAACGTGGTGTAAGGGTGCAGGAAAGACGCAATCCCTGGCGCTGACCAAGTTGGGACCGTGTTGGGGTGCCGAAGCCAACAACTTTGCCGGACTTTTCGTTTATTTGGTGGGGGGGGGGGGGGGGGGGGAGGCAGGGGGTGTTCTCTGGCGCTTGCAGATCACTTCTCTGTCATTCTGAAGTTGATGTCCAGACGGAGCTTGAGTGCAAGCCGATTCCTACCTTCATGACCACTGGGCGCTGCTTCCCAAAGCTGAAAGGCCGCCACACCCTTCCGGAATCACCGACTCGGATCCGCTGACCACCTCCCCCCCTCCCCACCTCCCTTCCCCACTACTCTGCTGAACTTGACTTGGCGGAAACCTCTTGCAGGGTTATCCTCTGGAGCGAAAGGTCGGGCAAGTAATGAGAGAAGTTATTGCAAGTTGGTTCTTGGAAAACACTGGAATTTGAAGACTGGGTGAAGAGACCCCAGAGCATCTCTCTCTCTCTCTCTTTCTTCGCAGCCAATAACACGTTTCATCTCAACTTCACACCGAACCCCTCGGTGGTACATTACCGTACTGTCATCTCACCTGTCTGGAGTCCCGAACATGTCGTGTAACTGTGATGTGGAATTTTATTTCTTGACTTCTAAACCACGAGTGGCCATCGGAGAAGGAGATGGTACTGTCGCATGTGCCCATATGTGGGTGCATTTCTTAGTGGGATGGATCAGTCAAGCATTCAAACTCAATGAATGGGGAATTAAAGATATGTGTGCATATGTATGTGCATATCAGAATGAGAGAGAGAGAGAGAGAGGGACAGAACATTTTATTATCTACAATCACAAGTGGAATAAACAGTCGGATTGTAACTGCGACTCCTTTTAAGGATTACCTGCGTTGTGAGCCCACTTTAACTAGACACACAACTACTGAAGTGATTTTTGTTTTTATTCCCCATCGCTGATGGAAGATGGGAGTTCCTGCAGCCTGGATTTTTCGGCCAACACTGGACTACTGTAAAATGACCTGACCGCTGCCTCATATGAGCCAAGACACTTGCTGTTAAAACGATTGGTACGATTCTTTAATCAGCTGACTCTTCCAATCGTCACATGGTGATGGGACTCACTGGTAGCATTTGAGCCAAGGGGAGAAATGTCTATAATCAGTCTTCCGACAACTGCTTCGGTCATGGTTTCATTTGATGCACAAAAAAAAATAATGTACTGTGAGCTATATTGGTGATTTATTTTCCCAGCTGTTAGGTCATGATTGCTTTGGGTATGGGAGGCACAGGAGTGAGATCTGACAATATGCCAACCCCCACCTCCCCCCCGCCTCCTCCAAATGGCCAGCAGACTGCAACAGTGAAGAGCTGGGGGTTAAGGTTAGATTTGGTACACTGTTGCAAGGTTTACCTTTAACAGGAGGTGGCCTAACCACATTGTTTAGAGCTACCAAACTACTGAGAGGGCTGGCTCCTGTGTTGAAGGTGAACAGATAGGCGTAGACTAACTACTGATCAAACATCCGACTACTGCTTGCGGAAGGCAACCACAGGACTTTTGGAATTGTGAATTGTTTTTGTAGCATTGTCTCCGCTACTCCAGTGCTTAAACTGTCTTGATATCCACATCCCTGTACCAACCGCACACCCCACCCCCCCCCAAACACCACCACCAACTTCCCAGGCTGTGGCCTGACCGACGATGGAAATAACACTGGGCAGCCTGAAATGAAACGAAACACTGGACACCATCGTTGGTTTCATGGGCCATTTCCTACCGCGTAGAGGATCCAATCAGGAGTTATAGGGGAGTGGGATTCATGAATCCATGGGATCGGCCGCCAAGCCGCTCCCATCACCCGATCAGTTTTGCTCTCCGCCGATTCGTGGATTTTCCAACCCAAGTGTCTCGGGTTGAGATGACCATTCATTGCCTTGGCTAGAAGGTTTGCAGGGGTGGCGGTTGCAGTTGGGATTCCCACCGGTTGCGCCCCTTTTCCGGTTTCTTTCCCCTCCCCACCCCACCCCAGAGCCTTTCTGGTTTTCCTGCTTTGCTCGCCTCTCAGACATGACTCTGAGCAGCGGGGTCACAGGCCGCTCTGTCCAATCGGCCCACCCCTCCACCACGTTCACCACTTCTGCAATGCCCTTTGATTTCCCTCCTGCCTCATTCCCATCAACTGCAGCCTCTAGGCCATGAACACACACCATTGAGATAGACACTTGTCTTGCCTTCCTCTCCCTGCACTTTCGTTTATATCAGCGTGGCCAACAGGCTTATTCCTGCTTGACTGAGGGCTGGGATCCACCAAATACCATCAAATCATTTTAGCAGGAGTATATCTGTATTGTTTGCATAAGGACCCTCCCTGTTGGAGCTGTACAGCACGGAGACAGACCCTTTCAACTCATCCGTGCCGACCAGATATCTGAAATTAATCTCGTCCCGTTTGCCAGCATTTGGCCCATAAACTCTTCCTACTTGTCAGGAGCAATGATGCTGTTCTCTGTGAAGAATTGCTGACAAAACCGATGCCAGCGAAAAGGTGCTTTAAGTAGAAATCCCTTGGCTGTCTCCAACGTCCTGCGATACTTCATTGTGGGATAATGTGAGGCCCACAGCAAAGGTTTAGGACGCAATTGCTTACAGATTACTAGTCATTCCAGAAGGCTGGTTTAATGACACAAGTGGCAGGTTGCGAATTTGAATACAGTTCACAAAATAAATCTGAATTAAAACGCGAGATTGTGTCTTGGTGACAACCAAACACCCCCGATTTTTGCAACACCGCGATTAAAACAGAAAGTGGAAGGTCTGGCAGCGTCTGTGGAGAGACAGAAACAGTTGATGTTTCGAGTCCGGGGTGACTTCTTCAGCCTCATGAACTCTGTTTTTCTCTCTCTCTCTCCACATATCCTACCAGACCCGCTGAGTTTCTCCAGCACTTTTTTTTTGTGCGTGTGTCTTTATTTTTCAGTCTTTTAGCATCTGCCATCACCCCGGTTCACTCTAGGGAAGGAAATCTGCTGCGTTTACCCTGGTCTGGCCTCCGTGAGTCCAGACCCGCCCAGATGTGGTTGTCTTTTTAACCACCATCTGAAATGGCTCTCGGATTTGTCACCGACTTCCCAAAACGGGCAGACACGGACGAGCAATAAGCCGTCCCCTCGCCAGTAACTTCCACGTCCCTCGGGCGAACAGATTACGAAAGAGAAAGAAGCCGTTCGACCCATGGAGCATTTTAAAACTAACCTCGCTGCCATAACTACCTATCAAAAGGCCCTGTGTCTTCCTCTGCTTCCTGGCTATCTGCACTGGTCTGGAATCAGAAGAGGAGCTGTCCAATTGTAGAACGTACAACAGTACAGCACAGGAACGGGGCCCTTCGGTGTTGTTTCAAACGTGATGCCAAATTAAGCTAATCCCTTCTGCCTGACCTTGGTTCGTATCCCTCCATTGCTTGCATATTCATGTGCTCATCTAAAAGTCCCTTAAATGCCCCTATTGTAATGCCCTTATCCTCGGATCTGAATTGGGAGCCGATTTCACAAGCACAGCCATTTAGCTTCAGGGCTCCGACAGGGAGCAGTGATAACCTCGTGGGAGCGAGATGGAATCCGGTTTGTCCCGCCCCAAGATCTGTAAACTACGGCTTCATATTAGGGATGCAGATGGTTTAAGGGGTGGTTTATTTCGGGCCCTTTGGAATTTTGAAAGGGGTTGGTAGCACGGAGTCAGAGAGGGGATCCTGGACTAGGGAGACACAATCTTGCAATTGGTGCCATTCAGGATCACAGGCGGTGTTTGAATCTCAGTGAGTGATTTTCGTTGAGACAGGACAAGTGGAGCCCAGCATAGTAGCTGAAGTCCAAATGTGTACCAGCCATGAATGGGATTGGGGAAGTGGTGGGGTGGTGTGTGTGTGTGTGTCGGGGGGCGGGGGGGGGCGCGGGAGTAAAGAAAGATGCTGAATGGCCTCTTCAAGTTCCTATGTTCCCCTATTTTACAGATTTCTCCCTGTGTTTACCCCAGTGGCTGTTCAGGCAGGGCGGGACATACAAGGGAACTGGAGAGGCTACTGATACAAAGTACTGGTTGGGAGACACTTAAAAACCCTTCTACCTTGGCCAGGTTGGTGCAGCCTTGTGCATATCAATGCTTTCGCCATCTTTCTCATGTAAATGCAGTCCTTTAGATCTTTCCCCTGCTTATAATAACACTTGGCGGTTCCTAAAGTTTGGGACCCTCAGTCCTTACTCTTGGCTTTCTGACAAGTATAGGGCTGTCTGTGAACTCAACTACTGATCAAGTTAAACATTAGGCATTTGAGCTGGAAGCTAGGAACATGGTTGAAGTGTTCTTAAATCATGTAAAAGAGTAGCTGGTAATCCAGATGTTAAAAATTATTGGCGGTGAGTAAATATTTGTGTAGCGTGTGGGTGTTTTTAACAAATGTTGGTTATTGTGAGATGTCGATGGAGAATCCTTCTCTTTGGTCTTACGCTGGATTCAAACTGTACTGGATTATTGTTGAGGATGTGTACATATTTTACAAAGAGATTTTTAAGGTAATATATAACGAAATCACTTTGGAGCTTCTCTGTAGATCCTATTCATGCTTGCATTTTTCTAGGTGTTTGTAATAAACTTTCCTTTGATTGTTGAAAAGAAGAGATGTGTCGAGACAGTGTTATTACCGTTCCTTTCTCCAGAGCAAGTGTGGAACACTCCTGCCTCGAAGTCCAAGGGTCAAGCCCCATTCTCCGCCAGACATTGGGTGCAAACATGTCAGCTAACAATCCCCGGGGCAGTATTGCCATCTGCTGGATAGGATGTCCAAGTCATACCATTGCCCGCCGTCGCAGGTGAACGGGAAAGATCCCGCGCCGCTATTTTGAAGAGCCACAGGAGAGTTGATCCAACGCTGACCCCCTCGATAAACGTGGTGGAGAGAACAGACTAATTGTCGCATTTCTGTCTGCGCGAGTTTGCTCTGCAATTTGACTGTCTCTGACATTTTTACAACAGTGACTAAGCTCGAAAGGACTTCATTGGCTGTAAAGCACTCTGGGGTTTTCTTGAGGTCTTGAGAGTGCTGCATAGATGCAAGTCTTTCTTTTCAATTGCTCGCAAGTGTCACAGTCAATTGTCAGCACAAATCAGTCTTCCATCTTTTTGGACCTCAACAGTAAGGCAATGAGACCATCATAAATAGATCTGTGGTGGCACTAGGATCACAGATCCAAGATGTTACGCTGTCAAGTTCTGTTCTGGGCTTCAAAATGGAGCTTTATTTAGGTCCGTTCTGGTGTCTAGGCTGCACACAAGCTTCCTCCTGTCCTTCTTCCTCTATTTCCTCCTGTGTGTGCATGGGTGCTCCGGTTTCCTCCTACAGTCCAAAGTTGTGCAGGCTAAGTGGACTGGCCATGCTAAATTGTCCTATAGGGTCGAGGGATGTGTAGATTAGATGGATTAACCATGGGAAATGCAGGGTTACATGGATAAGGTTAGGGTTTGGGTCTGGGTGGGATGCCCCTCGGAGGGTCAATATGGATTCGATGGGTCGAATGGCCTGCTTCCACACTGTGGGGTTCTATGATTCTATGTATGTTTGTGCAAGCATTTACAAAGGGCATTTTATGTTCCCAAGCCATCCCAGAGCACTACCTAGAATGGAATTAGAGAATTTTTCAGCACAAAGGAAGCTATTTGGCTCCCGAAAGAGCTACCCAGCTAGTTCCATTGTCCAGCCCTATCTCCATAGCCCTGTAAATTCATCACTTTCAAATATATATCCAGCTCTCTTTTGAAACCTCCTATGGGATCCGTCTCCTACGCAGCATGTTCCAAATCCTACTCTGAGTAAAGAAGTTTCTAGTAATCTCTCCCCCAGCTCTCTTGCTGACAAGCTTGAAATGGTGCCCCCCTAATTACTGACGAAACCAAACAGCGGAAATGGAATATTGTTCTTTATTCAGTTAAAATTGTTTATAATTTTGAACACCTCATTAAGGTCACCTCTCAATCTTCTGTGTTCCAAGGAGAATAAACCCCAAACTCTCTGATCTTACCTCGCATCTAAAACCCCCTCAATTCCTGGTATCATTCTAGTAAATTGCCTTTTCCCTTTGTCCAGGGCTTTAACATCCTTTTGCCAAATGAATATCTATCTTAATCTCCCAGGGAGTGGGCCAGATGTGGATCTCACCACAAGAGCAGTAGTTGTATAGATGGTACATGAATTACCAAACGCTATCGGCAGCTAGAACAAGTAATGAGAAAACCAAATAAGATGTGTACTTTCAGTGCACAGGGAATGGAATGTAAAAGTCGAGAAGTCTTGCTGCACTCTTCCAGGGCATTGGCAGTTCTCTGTGCAATTTTGGTTTCTTCTCAAGGAGGGATTGGGAGAATGTTCATTAGGTTATTTTTCTGGGATGAAGGGGTCACCTTTGGAGGAATGATTTAACAGTCTGGGCCTGTACTGTTTGGAGTGGAGAGTAATGAGAACGATGCTCTTGCTGGAACTGATGAGATTCTGATAAGTAGCTGGGAGGCGATGGCCTAGTGGTATTATTGCAGGGCTGTTAATCCAGAAACCCCAACGTTCGGGGGACCTAGGTTTGAATCCTGCCACGGCAGATGGTGAAATTTGAATTCAATTTTTTTTAAAATCTGGAATTAAGAGTCTAATGATGACCATTGTTGGAAAAACCCATCTGGTTCACGAATGTCCTTTTGGAAAGGAAACTGCTAACTTTACCTGGTCTACATGTGACTCCAGAACCACAGCAATTTGGGTTGACTCACTACTGCCCTCTGGGTGTTTTTGGGGATAGGCAATAAATACTGCCTGGCCAGCAACGCCCTCATCCTGTTAATGAATTTTTTTAAAAAGTGCCGAGAGGGTAGTTTCCTGCATTGAAGAACTCAGGGGACTCAGTTTTGTGATGAGGGTGTCTCATTGTAGGCAAAGATATGTAGGAATTTCTTCTCTCAGAGGCTTTCATTGCAATTCACGACCTTAGCCCTCAGTGAGGGCTGGGTAATTGAAAATATTTAAGGCTGAGTTAGATTTTTAACCCACAAGAGTGTGTGTGTGTGTGTGTCTGTGTCTGTGTGTGTCTGTGTCTGTGTGTGTGTGCACGCACGCTCCTGTTTCCTAATGATCTTATTCTCCACACAAGTTGATTCTTTCGAAATCATTTTTTTTTCATTTCTCAGAGCAAAGTAGCAGGTCTTTGAGGGGCGAGGTCCTACTCAAGTTTGTTCTGAAAGGATCAACTGGTTTGTTCACGTATGTTATCGCCTACTGTTTTTCATTCTTTTGCATATCTCCATGCAACTTTGCCTATGTATATGTAGATACGTTTAAAACATAGCAATTCAAAATTCAAATCTGATGATGAAACATACACACAACGAACAAAGAGTTTAGTCATGCAGAGCCTGGGTAATGCGACAATGTTGGGAGAGAAAAGTTCAAAACATCATCTCCTGCTACCACATTTATTTTAATTAAAAAGAAAGCAGCCCTCATTTCTAAAGAATACACAAAGTGTGGTTCTGAGTGTACTCGATTTATTTCAATAATAATACTGAGATTGGAGAAACTGCAGATAGTTGGTCCACGAGCCGAGAAAGTACAGGAAACATTTGTGAAGGGTCCCCTCAAAGTTAGGAAGAGTTCTCAAGAGTATCAAGTTGGTAAGTAACCAGAGGGGATGAGAGGCAATATAATCAGACAAAGACCCAGAGGGGTGATGAGCGTAGTTTTACTTTGACTCAGTGAGCTGTTGTGATATAGAATATGCTGCCTGAGAGGAAGCAGACTCACTGGGGTGGCACAGTCGCTCAGTGGCTCAGTGGTTAGCACTGCTGCCTCACAGCACCAGGGACCCATGTTCAATTTCATCCTCAGGTGACTGTCTGTGTGGAGTTTGCATATTCTCCCTATGTCTGCGTGGGTTTCCTCCCACAGTCCAAACATAAGCAGGTTAAGTGGCTTGGCTGTAAGAAATTGCCAGCCAGGGATGTGCAGGTTAGCCATGGAAAATGCAGTGTTACAGGGAGAGGGTTGAGTAGGTATGCCACTCTGTGGAGGGCCAGTGTGGACTCAATGGGCCAAAGGGAGATTCTATGAATAATAACTTACTGAAGGACTGTAGATAAATACTCAGGAAAGGGGGAAAAAGTTGCAGTCTTAGGGGGTGCAGAAAGCAATGGAGCCAATCTATTTGGATAATCCTGTCCTGTACCATCACCCAGAAGGTATTTTCCCCTTTCAATATGTCAAAAAGAGAGTTGGTCCTTGAAGTCAAAACTTGAGAAGTCTCATCTCACTTGCTGAACCTTCAATTAAGATGCTTGGTAGTGAACAGACCTGGTGCAGTATGAGGCCATTCGGCCTGTTGTGCCTGTACCAGCTCTCCAAATGAACGTCATGACCTAGTGCTGTTCTCCTGCCTTCTCCTCATAACCCTACATATTTTCTCCATTTAAATAATCATCTAATGCTGCCCCCACCCTTAAATGCTTTGATTAAACCCGAACCCACCGGGGTCCGGGTAGGGGATTCCAAATCCTAGTTGCTTGCTGCGTGAAAATGTTTTGGCTGGAGTCACATTTGCTTCTTTTGCAAACTACCCTCATTCTTGATTATCTTATGAGTGGGAGGAATTTCGTCATGTGCTCTATGTCCACACACGTCGACGGCTCTGAAATCTTCCAACGCATCTCCTCTTTGGCCTTCTCAAGGGCAGTAGTCACAACTTCTCCAAAAAACATGGCTGTCTGAAACGAAAACGAGGTGCTGGAAAAACGCCCACAGGCCTGGTGGAGCCTGTGGAGACAGAAAGAGATTTAATGCTTCAAGTCCAATGTAGTACTTTGAGGTCAAAGGTCATCTGACTCAATGCAGCGCCCCCCCCGGGGCGGTACGGTGGCACAGTGGTCAGCACTGCTGCCTCACGGCGCCAGGGACCCAGGTTCGATGCCACCCTCGGGCGAATGTCTGTGTGGAGTTTGCACATTCTCCCCATATCTGCGTGGGTCACCTCCCACAGTCCACAAAGATGCGCAGGCTAGGTGGATTGGCCGTGCGAAATTGCCCCATAGTGTTCAGGGATGTGTCGGTTAGGTGGGTTATAGGGGGATGGTAGTAGGTGGGATGCTCTGAGGGCTGTTGTGGACTTGTTGGGCCGAATGGCCTGTTTCCACAATTTAGGCGTTCTAAAAGTAGTGAGCCCAAATGCAGATTGGGTGGCCGCTCTGTAGAACTCAGTCCACAAGAATGACCCTGACTTTCTGGAAGAGTGTCAATTTAATGCGAGATAACACAGCGTGGAACTGGATGAACACAGTAGACCAAGCAGCATCAGAGGAGCAGGAAAGCTGATGTTTTGGGTCTGGACCCTTCTTCAGAAATAGGGGAGGGGAAGGGGATTCTGAAATAAATAGAGAGAGAGGGGGAGGCAGATGGAAGATGGATAAAGGAACAGATGGGTGGAGAGGAGACGGACAGGTCAAGGAGGCGGGGATGGAGCCAGTAAAGGTGAGTGTAGGTGGGGAGTTAGGGTGAGGGTTGGTCAGTCCAGGGAAGACGGACAGGTCAAGGAGGCAGGGATGAGGCTGGTAGGTAGGAGGTGGGTGTGGGGCCTGAGGTGGGAGGA